GAATGGTAATTTATAATCAGTCACAAGAACGTTGAATCTGAATCACTTGAAAAAAACACGGGGGTGCTTCACTTTTTTCCAGGTGTATATATAAACTGTTTTAGGATCTAATGTATAGCTCAATATATTTAAGTAATTGCTGAAATATGAAAAAAGAATTCTCTGTATTAAAGTATATAATAGTTCTTCTAATAACAGTTCTCAATGTAACAAAGTACACGTTTCTAAGTCATTCATTCGCATCCGACTTCTCTTGATATCATTTACAAGTACAATACTCGGAAATATCATTCATTAATAAAACGACATATTGTTTTGGAAAGTTAATAAAATATATTAAATAAAAATACACATTAATTTGATTATTCTAATACTGACTGAACGACAACTACGTACTGAAGTTTGTGCGACCAAAACTTAATCAGCACAGTCGATGTCATATTAAATAACACATTTTACAAAGATTCCATTGCATTTGGTGAGGTATATTAACACATCGTGTAAAGTAATTGAGACATTGCTGGGTTTTAACCCTAGAAGATATTCTAAGAAAATAAGATATATGGCTGATATCGCAAGCCACATTTTTCACTCAGTTGGGTTAGTTTAAAAATCCATCGTACTGAGTTAATAGATATGTTTAGGAGGACAAGAAAACTTAAAAACCGTAAAAAGCAAATGGTGGACTTGACAGTCTCGTAATCAAAATTCAATATCAACAATAGTGAAAATAGTTTTCTTAAACTCTAAACTGAATCAGGCCAAGAGTATAATAAGAAATAGCACATGTAAAAGTTAAAAACAAAACCTTTGATTAAGTTTTCTCATCATACTTATTATTTTAAATTATACATACGAACATCGTTAAGTTTTTATGTAATAATATATTTTACATGAATAAGTTTTATAATTCTATTAAACACGGTATTATTATAACATTATGACTCAGTATAAGGCTTAGACAAGCTTAAATAGTTGAATTTTAATCATACAGAATTTTATATTTCGAAGTTTCTAATGTCCTTCAACCTCTTATTTCCCAGTTTGCATATCTTATTTCATGATATTAGTTATTTAATAATTTGCTTATTAGTACAATTTACGTTATTTTTACATTGTATAGAGGCTCTGCAATTCTGAAAATTTCTGTGATAATTTTCATTGAGATTTTTAAAAGTATCTTAAGGAACAATGTAGAAAATATACTTTAATGAATAAAAACTCTTTTTCAAATACAATATTTCTACAGTTAAATTAAACACTTTATTTGTTATTAGAATACAAAAATTCATCGTGCGCTCTAGGATAAATAGTGTGTTACTTTTGCATTTCTCAACTCCACACACTAATAACAAACATTATTACAATTACTAACACTTATCAGACTGATGTAACAGACTTACGAGAAGGATCTTCATGCATTGGAATGATATCAGGATCGCTCGATGTTCCATCTTTGGAGCTAGATTTTTGTGAACTGATGTGAGAAGTTTGCCTTTAAAACACAAAAACAATTATACCGGTTGTAATAAATATAAAATTACAAAGATACCCAGAGGTAACAGAGCAACTTTTTTACAGCCCAAAGTAGTAATTTATACTCATAAACAATACCATAACAGAATGAACTCTACAATTTATTTCTAGATATCAAACCAAATTCTTAAACGACATTTCATTACGAAAGCAGAAAGAATATTTGTTTCTAAAATGAATAAAAAGTGTGTTTTTGGTTTTCTATGCATTCCAGTGTAAAACAAATAATACAAAACATGTTACTTGTCTTTGGAAATAAGCAAACTCGAAAAAAAGACAGTTGAAATTAAGAAAAAAATGTTAGTTCTGATGTAACATACTGTTAAAAGCATATTGGATAGAAATTAAAAGTGAAAAATCTCAGAATGTTGAAACAGTTCTTCCCGATTTTCAGTTGAAATTATAGACGCCCACTAGACACCCTCTTGTTTAAGTTCTTATTATAGATATTTTTGAAAACACTTTTTTTTACGATTGTGCTATCCTTGCACTTTGCTTTCCCTTCAACTGTATTAAGGCTGTGCTTATACCTACCAGGAACTGACTCATACTATTGTAAACATAACATATTTTTGTTTATTACTGTAATCAACAACATAAAGATTAAGAACTAGGTTTTGTTTCTTACTGGCAGTTTATTAATTTCGTCCATCGCCTCTTTCGGTTTATTTATTTTCTGTTACATTTCTTAGTCTTTCTTTCGTTGAACTCCCGTCTGTTATATTCCTTTCTCAAATCCATGCCAAACAGGTCCCTCTGTTTTGACTTTGCAGACCAGTTTTCCTCGTATCTGATTACAATATCTCATAATTATAAGAGTTCCCATTATCTCCATACGAGCTGAACAAGAAGGTGACTGTTCACTCCAGTAATTTTCTATTGATTTAGAGTGCTGTAATCCCCTAATCCCTTAGAGACTGACCAAAAGCCTTACACCTAACTTCATAAACGTTCTATATTACATGTTAACTGTTATTTATATATGAAATAAAATACAGTAGAAATTATAAGGAATGCTACAAACAGTACATTAAAATTGTGAATTAAACTTTGAATTATATTAACGTATTGAGCAAAAAATAACCAACATTAACTTTTTTACACATAGCAGAATGAATGATGAAACACAATCTTAAACTTAAATATTATATAAGGAATTTAAAGTATAAGAAAAAAAACAAAAAATTAGCCATCTTTCAAACTTGAGCATCAGGTACATTCTTAAATTGAAGAGATAAATATAAAATGTCACTAAAGTGACAATGATAAACCACTTCCCATACCTGAAGAAATTGTATATAATGTTTATAGATGAATAAGAAATCGATTAACAATATTCCTTACTTGAAAGTATAGATAATGGATTTACAGACAGGAAAAGAAAAAAACTGAGCCATACTCATGAGTGCTGAATAAGTAAGTGAAAGCTATGTAGTAGAAGATAAGATAAGACAGGATGAAACAATTCTTAGCATGAAGAAATATATGATGTTTAGAAACTAAAACAGATGAGAGCTACTTCCCTAATTAGCCAGAAGAACAGGAGGAGATACTTCCACACAATTTAACTAAACAATGAACTCCTTATTATACAAACTATTAATAAGCATCTTCCAAGCTTGAAGAACTGCATAAGAAATTGAAAACATAACAGAAAAAATGATGAATCATCTTAATCATAAGAACTAGATGAGATACAAAGAACCCAAAAGAACAGAAAAAATGATGTGCCTAACGTGACGAACTGGGAAATATATTGAGGTACTAAATAAAACAGAAAAATGTTGAGCCATATTTTTACCCTCTATAACTGGAAAAAATATTAGGAATACAATATAACAGAAAAAAAGACGAACTATTTTCCTAAGTTAAGAAAAATGATGGACCAGTTTTTTTAGTGTAAGAAATACAGAATTTATGAAATCCTCGAATATGTGATGAATAACATTTGTAATCTTTCGTGACCGAATGTATGTCAGTTTATACAGAAGAGCAACAGAGTAAGAAATAACATGTCGGAAATTTGCGAAACGTTTCAGAATGTTCAGATTCCTAGTAAACTCTCTTCATTCGTGTAGTCCTACTAAACTGGATTGAACACTCGTATCCATAAATAAACAGGGCGACGGATATTGCAATGACATCATGCAAAGATCTTAACCTCGAAAAAGACACATGGATAAAAAGTATTTAGAAATACGAAATTAAATGAAGAATCACGTTCTTAACTCGAAAATCTAGATCAGTTATTTACAATAGAGAAGGAAAAAGTGGCAATGCGAATTCCAAAAACAAAATCTACATGGAGTATTTTCATTATTGTTTTCAAGACGAGTCCACATTTCAGTATTAGAATACCAATGTGGTCTAGTTACCTCCACCGGATTATTATTATTTATATATGCACCATATATATATATATGCACCAAAGTGACTGCAAGTCTTTGCTTTCCTTGATTACAGGGCTCACTGAAAATTACAAATCATTTCTTTACACTGAGTTTGGTAACAGACATAATATTAAAGTACTAAATAGGATGCAATATACAGTAAAACTCATTTAATCCTGTTCTACTCAATAGAATCCAATACGTAGTAACTAATAAATAATATTCTACATCAATAGGATTCAATACGCAGTAACCAATTACATCATATTCTACTCAATAGAATCCAATACACTGTAACTAATACGTCGTATTCTACCCAATAGGATCCAATACGCAGTAACTAATTCATCATATTCCACTCAATACGATGAAATATACATTAACTATTACATCACATTCTATTCAGTAGGACCCAATACGCAGTAACTCATTGCATCATACTATACTGAATATGATTATGCACCATATCCTACTCAAAAGGATCCAATATGCAGTAATCTATTGTATTATATACAGCCATCTTTCTCATGGGACCATACTGAACTATCTTTGATGTGTATGAAAGGCTTGCATTTTTACTGTGATTTGGATTCCAGTTTCAGCGTTTTTCTGAATATTTTTCTAACGTTCTTACATTGAGTAAAAATGAGTTCCAGAGCTAAAAATATGGCAACTTAAAATATTATAGACAATGCCGTATGTTTTATGATGATTATAAAACAACAAGTACTGAAAGTGAAGATCATTATATCTGTTGATGACAATACTGGTGATAGAAACTCAAATGAGATTGATGATAAAATTTTAAATGATGATACCAAGACAGGGGCTAACTGGGAGAAGATAATTTCCAAATGCTTGTAAAGAAACTTCAAGTTTAGCTAGTTATGTAAGAAGAGATAGTGATACAGTATTATCTACATTCAATCTGTTTATGAAGAATAGCATTACGTAAGGAGTATTCGAATAACACACAACGAAGGAAAAGCTGTATTGGAAGCATTTGGATTCTAAGGAAATGCAATGTTTCTTTGGTGTGATGGTGCTAGCTGGTATTTAGAAATCAAAAAATGAAACAATTGAACATGATTTGGGACCTGGTCAATAGTAGACGAATTTTCCAAAAGCAATGACATACAAACGGATTTCATGAAACGTCAAGATGCCTTCGATTTAAAAATGCTGAAAAACGCCAAAAAAATCAAACACATTTAAAAATATATTATAAAATAGCATCTACAATGAATGGTTGTAGACTTCTTAGCAGTGGTATGTACCAACAGAAAATGTAAGCATTAATGAGCAACTAGTCTCAAGGGTTAGAAACCAGTGGACGGAATGTAACTTGCGATAATTTGTTTGCGAGTTGAAGGTGGCCAAGAAATTACTGGACAAGTGACTAACAATTGTTGATACAAAGTCGAGATGAACTGCAATCTGAAAACGCTTCCGTAAAAGGATGTGCCGAGTTCTCAACTAAAGTTGCTTTCATTGCACTTCATGTTATCCAAAGAAAGGGAAACTTTGCTGTACTGCTAAATGTTGTGCATAATCAAGAAAAAACAGCCAGAAAGCTGGTGATGGCCTTAAATTACAACAGAACTAAAGCCGGAGTGGATACTGTTAATCAAATGCTAAGGAGTTACTTATATAAAATGAAAATAAACAGATGGCCAGTTTTCTACAAGTTGTTAGATGCATGCTGCCTAAGTGCGTTTGTTTTGTGGATTTATCTTGAATCTGGAAGGAATAAAAGAAGGCCACATAAAAGCTAATTAAACAACACAAAAAAATATAACCAAATACAACAACATCCAATACAAACTACAAAAACAAAGATTGAAATTATAAGAATACACGATTATTGAAAGTTCTGCTCTCGAGAAATGGACAAATACAGGAACAGATGTAAAAAGTGCCAAACCTTTATGAGTAAAAAGCATTCTAAGATATTATGTAACAGCTATAATGGTTAAAGACGACTTATTTTGTTTAACAATGCTTTGTTTCCAATTTTCATGCAATTCATTTAATAATTTTTAAATCAAATATTAAAGCTGAATGAGGTTAAACATCATTTGGTAGGAAACTAAACATCAATACACAGAAATCAAAGTATCTAAAACTACAGATAATGTAATTTTTCATATTAATATATGATATATAAAAAACAAACAAAAACTCCGTAATTCGAAGATTAAAGAATGTGCAATACCACGACGCGTGACTGTGTAAATCAAAGGAAGTAAACAAGGTTTATTGTTCCTAATCAGGCCCGGCATGGCCAGGTGGTTAGGGCATTTGACTCGCAATCTGAGTGTCGCGGGTTCGAATCCCCGTCCCAACAAACATGCTCACTCTTTCAGCCGTGGGGGCGTTATAATGTGACGGTCAATCCAATTATTCGTTGGTAAAAGAGTAGCCCAAGAGTTGGCGATGGGTGGTGATGACTAGCTGCCTTCCGTCTAGTCTTACACTGCTAAATTAGGGACGGCTAGCGCAAATAGCCTCGTGTAGCTTTGCGCGAAATTCAAGGCAAACAAACAATCTTTGTAATCAACTACTAATT